GTAGGTGTTGGGGCCTTGTGTATCTGAGTGTGTGTGTATGTGCCATTGTGTGTATCTGTATATCAAGGTATATCACTGTTTGTATCTAATTGAGTGTGTGTCTGTGTGTCAGTGTTTATATGCCAGTGTGTGTCAGTGTGTATATCTGTGTCAAGGTGTGTGTATATATCAAGGTGTGTGCTTGTGTCACTGTGTGTTTATACGTGTGTATCTCTGTGTATTTAATGTGAATGTTAATGTAAAGCGCTGCGGAATAAGCTGGCACTATATAAATACCAATAATAATAATAGTGATAATCTATATCTGTGAATACATCCCAGGAATCAAACACAACAGGCAAACACACACCTGCAAACACTAACATTACATACAAACACACCTCTGAATTAAAACTCCAAAATTATAAACAAACACACACCTTCACTCAAACACCAATACTACACACAAATGTACATCCACATTTAAAAGACAACACTACAAACGAACACACCTCTGCATGCAAATGCAAACATTAAAGGAACGCTATAGTCACCTAAATTATTTTAGCTAAATAAAGCAGTTTTAGTGTATAGATCATTCCCCTGCAATATCACTGCTCAATTCACTGTCTTTTAGGAGTTAAATCACTTTGTTTCTGTTTATGCAGCCCTAGCCACACCTCCCCTGGCTATGATTGACAGAGCCTGCATGAAAAATAAACTGGTTTCACTTTCAAACAGATGTAATTTACCTTAAATAATTGTATCTCAATTTCTAAATTGAACTTTAATCACATACAGGAGGCTCTTGCAGGGTTTAGCAAGCTATTAACATAGCAGGGAATAAGAAAATCTTAATTAAACAAAACTTGCAATAAAGAAAGCCTCAATAGGGCTCTCTTTACAGGAAGTGTTTATGGAAGGCTGTGCAAGTCACATGCAGGGAGGTGTGACTAGGGTTCATAAACAAAGGGATTTAACTCCTAAATGGCAGTGGATTGAGCAGTGAGGCTGCAGGGGCATGTTCTATACGCCAAAACTGCTTCATTAAGCTAAAGTTGTTCAGGTGACTATAGTGTCCCTTTAAAAACAAACACACCCCTGTATAAAGCTGCTGCAGTTACACCATTAACTCTCTATGCCATCTCATACAAATTCCTCTGCTACCTTTTGTCTCACCTCCACAGTTTACCTTTAGATTGTAAGCTCACGGGCAGGACCCTCTACCTGTTGTATCAGTCTGTTCTTATTGTATTGTCTTTTTCCCAATTGTACAGCGCTGTGGAATATGTTTGACACTTTATAAATACCAGTAATAAAAAAAATAAAATGATATACAAACACCAACTCTACACACAAAAGCACACCTGCCTTTAAAAGCCAACACTACATTTAAACACATATCCCTGCATTCAAATGCAAACACTGCACACAAGTACACCACTGCATTACAATGGTAACAGTACATATAAATACACCCCTTCATACACACACGTACTCTATACAAAAACATGCTTACATTCAAACGCACAAACACTGCTCACAAATACAACTCTGCAAGGATGGCTAAATAGTAGATCCCCAGCTGGCATAGCATGGTGGGAGTTGGACAACAGATTGTGGTCTATCTTTTTGCCAATCTTGAGGTGTGCCCAACTGGTTTGAGGTGGAGGATGTGATGCTTGCCAAGGATCCAGTCCATATTGAAGACAGCTCTAGTTGTGTGTAATGTGTGTATAGCTGTGAGTGATGTGTGCGGCTATGTGTGGGCAGCTCTGAGTGGTATGTGTAGCTGTATCAGTAGCTGTGAGAGATAATTTTGGGCTACTGTGAGTGTTGTGTGCGGCAATGTGTAACATGTGGAAAATACATCTGGGAAGTAGTGGAATTTCCATTTAGTAGAAAATGGGAAAGGATGGGATGGGAATTCAAGTTAGCTCCCCAACAGCTCAATATAACTAGAAGGGTTTAGGTGCTCTAGTGAAAATGTGAAGGCAGCAGTCAGGGATAGGGGCTGTAGTAATGGGATAGTGGATGTAGTGGGGAATAGGGGAGTCAGGGGCAGTAGTGGGGGTTAGGGGCAATAATGTGGGGTTAGGACCTGTAGTGGGGGTTAGGACCTGTAGTGTGTGTGTGTGTGTGTGGGGGGGGGTCAGGGACAGTAGTGGAGTATCAGGGGCAGTAGTGGGAGGTTGAAACCTGTAGTGGAGGTCAGGAACAGTAGCAGGGGGTTAGGACTTGTAGTGGGGGATCAGGGCAGTATGCTGGGTTAGGATTTGTAGTGGGGGGTTAGGGGCAGTAGTTGGGGGTTACAAACTGTAGTGTGGGGTGTAAGGACCTGTAGTGGGGGTTTAGGACCTGTAATGGGAGTGTTCCCTGACCTCCCACTACTGCCCCTAAGAGTAGTGGGGGTTAGGGGCAGTAGTGGGAGGGCAGTAGTGGAAGATCAGTAGTGGGAGATTAGGACCTGTAGTGAGGGATCAGATGCAGTAGTGGGAGGATATGACCCTTATTGAGGGGTCAGAGGCAGTAGTTGGGTCGTTAGGACCTGTAGTCGGGGGTTTGGGGCAGAAGTTTGGTGTCAGTGGTTGTAGTGGGGTGTCAGTGGCCATAGTGGGGTGTTATGGGCAGTAGTGGCTAGTGGGGGTTTAGGACCTGTAGTGAGGGGGGTTAAGCAGCTCTTGTTAGTTTTTTGTGGTTTTAGTTTAAATTAACCTATTAGTGCTGATAATGGATTTGTATACTGTGATCACCCTTTTCTTTTTGGAGTGTAGGGTTTGCTTTGGGTGGAAGAGGGAATTGGTGGGGTGGGTGATGGTTGGCGTTAAGTAGGCAGGTAGGAGAAAAATAATAACATTTTTGCCTTTTGCATCATGGCACGTTTTTATTCTGAAGAAGCGACTTACTCCAGTGACACATTTGAGATTGATACATTTGATATAGCTGTTAGTGATAGACCCCCTAAGCGAGGCTTCTAGTGATGGTGCTCCTGAAATACCCTCATTTATGGTAACTCCTGGTATTGCAACCAGCATTGCTGTGATTTCTTCATTTTAATGATTATACCCTGCTAGAAATGATCCATTATACACTGTATTACAGGATATACAACATGCAGCCCATTATCATACACCTGTGTTAAAAACTTTTATTGAATATTACACCCCTCACCAGAACATATGCACAGATGAACCTCTAATGAAATTTAAAGGAAGATTGTTTTTTTAATCAACATATTCCATCAAACTGGTCATGTTGTAGAATAAAATTTTACAAATTATGTGAATGTACTAGCATCCATGGGTCGACAATTATTATATTAGCTTTGCTTTGTTTAAAACATGTATTTTGTTTTGAAACCCTAGCCTATGGCAAAGTGCCCAGCAGCTGGCATACGGCAAAAAAACAAAACACTAGAGGCACAACAGCTTTACACTAACAAAAAAAGATGTGTACATGCTGTCTGCAATGTACGATCAAAGTACAGCACCAGCATCTGTCAAAAGAAGGGATGAACAATCCAAAAAAACAAAGTGCATTGCTGATTACAGCAAACATAGATGGGTAGATTAGACTGATCAATACATACAACAGGGGTTCTCAACCCAGTCCTCAGGACCCCCTACCAGTCCAGGATTTGGGGATTACCTGGGTGTGTCTCAGGTGTTTAGAAAAAGGGAAAAAAACACCTTAGACCCTAAAGTGTTTTTTTTTCTTTTTCTAAACACCTTAGACACACCCAGGTAATCCCCAAACCCTGGACTGGTAGGGGGTCCTGAGGACTAACTTTGAGAACCCCTGACATACAACCATATCTGATTCACTCCAACTTCTAAATTATTGGTACAAACAAAAATTGCCATATACCTAACACAGATTGTAGTCTACAAATTGTATGTTCTGTACAAAAAAGCAGGCACAGAGAAGCCATATACTTTCCTCGAATTTGCAATAAAGCTTTTTATCAGATATTTTATTTAGTCAGCCAGCTAAATAACACTTCATCCCCTCCTCCTATCTCTACCTGGCTGTGATAGAATTTAAAGTGTTTCAGATAGAGTTGAGCGGACACCTGGATGTTCGTGTCCGGCGGGTTCGGCCGAACTTTGAAAAAAATCCGGGTTCGGGCTTGAACTTGACCCCGAACCCCCATTGAAGTCAATGGGACCCGAACCTTTGGGCACAAAAATGCCTCTAAAAAAGTCATGGAAAGGGCTAAAGGGCTGCAAAAAGAAGTAAAATGGGGGTAAGAGTAGGACAAGTGCCCTGCAAACAAATGTGGATAGGGAAATCACTTAAAATAACATAAAATACATAAAAATTAAAAATACAGCCATAAAATACCACTAGATGGAATCTTTGATTTTAGCTTTGGGAGAACATAAATCAATATCTAAAGCATGGCTGTCAGGAGGATCGCCAGAATTATCCATTTGAGAGAGGGTTGCAGTGCAGGGTATTCTCTTTCTTTGTTCAAACTGAGCTCAACTCCTGATGCATGGAGAAAAGGCCTTCACAAGCCTCTGCTATTGTGTACATAGTTTATACTAAGTGACCCATAGGTTGAGAAGGCGGTGACCGTGGCGGTGTAGGTGGAAGCAGCGGTGGAGGAGGTAGCCAACACTGGTTTTTATATATTTATATATATTTTTTTTAATTGGGGGTAGCCCCCAAAATATTGGGACATTTACAAAAAAGAAACATTTGCGGCCTGCGGTGCATTTCTTGCAGTCCTGATGTATGGAGAAAAGGCCTTCACAAGCCTCTGCTATTGTGTACATAGTTTATACTAGGGGGGCGTGCCTAGCTGCCGAAGAAGATGGCCGCCTAATCTAGTAGCTCCTCATGGTCCCAGCGAAAAATAGCTACACTAGGCTCACCACACACATCCAGCATCGACAATGGGGTGCAATAAGGAGCAGGCAGATCCCTCCGGTACCCCCAGACCATCGGGGTCTGGAACGGAGCCCTCCATCCGCTCCTATCTAACCACGCCACGAGATCTCGGGTCCCAGCCCGACATGGAGGCTCCAGACCCGACCGCGAACTCGCCATCGGCAACACCCGCGAAATTCTCCCCGGCGCCATCAGACTCACCTGAAGCCCAGGGGACACTGGAGGGAGACCTCAGGGCCATACTGCCTACCCTCCTAATGAAGGTGGATCTCGAGGCGCTCTCTGACCACCTCAGCCAGGTGATTCGCGACGTACTGACCCAAGTGAAGGCAGATATAACCAGCATAGACACCAGGCTGATGGCTACAGAATCAGAAACAAGGGCCCTCCACATGGAAGCTGACGCCGTGGCCTCCACGATCAAAGGCTGTGAAACAAGCCTGGCCCATATCACGACATGGGTCGACGATCTCGACAACAGGAGACACAGAATGAACCTCAGGGTGCGAGGGGTGAAAGAGATGGGCCCCAATGAAAACATACCTGAGATCCTCTGCACAGTTTTCAGCCTCGCCCTGGGGGGACAACAACCCAGATTAGGTCTAGTACGGGCCCACTGCGCACTACGAGCAACCCCAGCGCCAGGGGATCAGCCACGCAATATCATCTGCTGCCTAGATAACTTTAACCTTAAAGAAGACATCCTACGCAATGCCCGCCGAATGGGCAACATCAGGCTGGACAACCAAGTTGTGACTGTCTACCAAGACCTTTCCCACTACACACTGCTAGCCAAGAAGGCCCTCCGACCGGTAAATGCGGCACTACAGGCAGCAGGTATCCCGTACCGCTGGGGATACCCATTCTCCCTCTCCGCACACAGGGGACAAGAGCTACACACCATCAAGACCCCGGCGGATGTCCAGGGATTCCAGCACTCCCTGGGACTTCCCCCAGCCCGAGTGCAGAATTGGCTTACCCACCAATTTATACAACAAGCAGCAGGCCCTCTGCCACCACCACCTGATAGATCTGCAAGCCGTGACCACACTCAGCGCAGATACCCAGGGCCACCAGGCCCAACTAGGCCTGAAGAATGACAGCCGCACTAAGAGCTCAGCCAGAACAGAGGAACGGTGCAGGCGGCACTCCACACTCCACACCGCACAGCAGTGAGTACTGTTACTTTATTGGATAAGGGGACTCTGGCTACTTGTCCACAAGATTACATAAAGGGGGGGACTGCTTGCTATGGGGGAAGGGGACAGGCACCCTAACCACCGTCAAGGGCATGGGCAATGGTTAACCCTTCACGTACCCAGAAACAGGAATTCACGCCATGGAGACAATGGCCTCACGAGCACTCATCCGCACTAAGGGAGGGGCTCAGCACCATTGGGGTGGGGGACAGGGAACCTCGGCTACACCTCGACTTTCCCCGGTCCCCAGGACCGGACTCTTAAATGACTGAGGGACTTGGGATACGGACTACCATCACACACGGGAGCACCGGGGAAAGGGAAAAGGCCAGGGAGGTACTGGGGACAAACCTGCAGGCATAGCCAGAGAGGAGAAGGCTTACATAGAACAAGACACGCTCCGCCGCACATCAGGGAGATACATCTTCACAAGGGTACCATCCATGACCAGAAATACACCTTCACGAACATATATGCTCCAAACTCAAAACAATACCACTTCCTCCGCAGGACCATGTCAGTCCTGATGAGGTTCGCGGGGGGCACCCTGGTCGTGGGGGGCAGGCACGCAAGAACACTCCAACTACTCCACCACCACCAACTCACAGACTGCTGGAGGGCAATGAATCCTGATATAAGGGACTACACGTTCTACTCCACAACACATGCCACGTACACAAGGCTGGACTACTACCATACCACAACCTATCCCTCCTAGTAGAGGCAGAAATTCTACCAATGACCTGGTGATTATTTCTGATGACTTAAAGGTAGGCAGACAATGTAATAGAGCAGCAGGAAATGCTATCAGAATGCTTGGTTGTATAGGGAGAGGTATTAGCAGTAGAAAGAGGGAAGTGCTCATGCCATTGTACAGAACACTGGTGAGACCTCACTTGGAGTATTGTACACAGTACTGGAGACCGTATCTTCAGAAGGATATTGATACCTTAGAGAGGGTTCAGAGAAGGGCTACTAAACTGGTTCATGGATTGCGGGATAAAACTTACCAGGAAAGGTTAAAGGATCTTAACATGTATAGCTTGGAGGAAAGACGAGACAGGGGGGATATGATAGAAACATTTAAATATATAAAGGGAATCAACACAGTAAAGGAGGAGACTATATTTAAAAGAAGAAAAACTACCACAACAAGAGGACATAGTCTTAAATTAGAGGGACAAAGGTTTAAAAATAATATCAGGAAGTATTACTTTACTGAGAGGGTAGTGGATGCATGGAATAGCCTTCCAGCTGAAGTGGTAGAGGTTAACACAGTAAAGGAGTTTAAGCATGCGTGGGATAGGCATAAGCCTATCCTAACTATAAGACTAGGGACTAATGAAAGTATTTAGAAAATTGGGCAGACTAGATGGGCCGAATGGTTCTTATCTGCCGTCACATTCTATGTTTCTATGTTTCTATGTCGGACCACAACCCAGTTCGCATCCGACTAAAATCCCCGCTATACAGGCCCTGCCATGTTTCATGGTGACTCAACGAGTCCATCCTAACAGATCCCACACTTGTGTCAAGGACCATGCAGGTCATACAGGACTACTTCACCACCAATGAAACTGAGGACGCAACACCCCTGACATGCTGGGAGGCACACAAGGCGGTCATATGAGGTCACTTCATTGCAAACTGCTCGGCACTGAAGAAGGCACATGCGAAAGCAATTACGGATCTCAGCACATACATAGCCCGTCTGGAGAACCAACACAAATGGACACTGGACGCCTCGACCTACAGAGATCTCCTTCACAAACGCTCCCAACTTGCTGAGCACATGAACTGCTCCATCCAACGATCCTTCCAGCACTTCAGACACCTGGTGTACGAACACGGGAACAAGTGCAGCAGGCTACTCGCAAATCTACTGAAGCGCCACAGGACACACCTCTACATCAACAAAATTAAAGACCCGTCCCAGCGGGTACACCATCTCCCAGACCAGATCTCCGCCACATTCCTCAACCCGCAGACACAATGCCATCCACACATACCTGGCATCAGCAGCGCTACGTCAACTAACAAACCCGGACCGGGAGCTTTTGGATGTGCCCATCACCCCAGAGGAACTCTCGATTGCCATCAAAAAAGCGCAGACGGGCAAGTTGCCAGGAGCGGACGGCCTGCCGTTACAATACTACAAAACGTTCCAGTCCTAACTCCTTCAGAAACTACACAAGGCCCTGAACTCAATCCTTGAAGGGGCTACACCCTCAGCCCACTTCACGGCGGGAAACATCACGCTCCTCCCAAAAGAAGGCAAGGACCCAACATCATGCCAGAGCTATCGCCCGATCTCGGTCCTCGATGTCGATATCAAGCTACTGGCCAGCGTGCTGGCCAACTACCTAGCACCACTCCTGCCGGATCTGATACACCCTGATCAGACAGGGTTCATCCCTGGCAGGGAAGTCAGGGACAACACCATACGGGGAGGAAACCTGGTCTCCGTGGCTACACGGTCCACACAACCGTCCCTGCTTCCATCGACAGATGTTGAAAAGGCCTTCGACCGGGTGGACTGGAAATTCATGTTCGCGACCCTCCGGACCCGAGGCGTAGGGTCCAGATACATCCAATAGGTGGAGGCGCTATACAGCCACCCGGCAGCGAGGCTGCGAATCAACGGGGCACGTACAGGCTCGTTTCAAATCAGAAATGGGACGCCCAAAGGCTGCCCCCTATCGCCCATATTGTTTGCACTCACACTGGAGCCCTTCCTCAATAAAATCCGAAGCAACGAGGCGATCCGAGGACTGATCATAGGCCAAACACACCACAAAGTTCTGACCTCCTTTTCCTAGTACAGGACCCCATCAGATCGCTACGGGTGATCAGAACCGAATTTGATACCTACGGCCAGATATCCAATCTGCGCATCAACTACGCCAAATCAGAAATCCTAGGCCTAACAATCCGGCACTCACAAAAACTCGAACTTAGGCAACGCTTCCCATTCTCACGCAAGACACGGTGGACCTCTACACCCACAACTACTAACCTCTTCTACGGACAGCGCAGACTGAACTCCAAACATGGAGCACAACATACATCTCTTGGCTGGGACGCATAAACGCAGTGAAAATGACCCTGCTCCCCAAGTTCCTCTTCATCTTCCAAACGGTGCCAATAGAGGCACCAAAGTCATACTTCACCACCATCCAAACAACAATCCGTAATTTCATATGGAAAGGGAAATCGCCCACTCCCAGCTGACTCTCCCTAAGCTCCCGGACTTTAGGAAATACCACCTAACGACACACCTCGCCCAAATAATCAACTGGTCAGTAAAGACCAGGGACAAACCCTGGGTGCAACTGGAGGCGGACAGCACCAAATGCGACCTCACAACCCTCCCTTGGATCACAAAAGAAGCCAGCAAGCAACTACAACATGCCAACCCATTCGTGAAGGCCACCCTACATATCTGGCACCAAAATGGCCCCAAACACTACCTTATGACCGACCCCAGCCCACTACTCCCCTTAAGAGGCAACCCGGACTTCACGGCGGGCGACATGGGCCCAACCTCACGCCCAGCAAACGGCAACACAATGCTTAGAATGGAAGACATCATCTCACCCCCATTCATAATCCGGCCGATCGTGGCCATCTTCCCGGACCAGAGACACACTTTCGTATATACGTTGGCGAGGAAACAAATGTCCCACTACGCGCACTCCATTCCCCAACGCCCCTACCTGATGAGAGAATGCACGGAGTTTGAAACCCTATGTAGATAAGACGAAACCCCACCGAAAGCAATATCCCTGATTTACAATTCACTAGCAACGAATCAGTATCTTTTGGGCCCCCCATGCGTCAGACGATGGGAAGAGGACCTTGAAGAAGATCTCACAGATGCGGACTGGGACAAAATCATCATGCACGTCCAAAAGACCCCGGGATCAGCCAGACTTCAGAAAAACTGATACAAAATCCTCACAAGATGGTACATCACCCCCGTCACCCTCCACGCCCGATACCATTCAGTGCCTGCCATCTCTGGCGATGTGGAGAGGAGGACGGTACTTTCCTCCACATCTGGTGGAACTGTGCCCTCATCCGACCGTTCTGGGAAGCGATACATCAAGTCATCCACACTGCTATTGTGTACATAGTTTAAACTAAGTGACAGATAGGTTGAGGAGGCAGTGACTGTGGCGGTGTAGGTGGAAGCAGCAGTGGAGGAGGAGGAGGTAGCCAACACTGTTTTTTATATATATATTTTTTTTTAATTGGGGGTAGCACCCAAAATATTTGGACATATCAAAAAAGAAAACTCTGTTCCGCAGAGCGAATGACCCATGCGTGCTGCAGCTGAAACTCCACTATCGCCTGCTGCTGCTCGCACAGTCTCATGAGGCGGTGAGCGGGAAGGCCGAAGTTACGCTGCAGCGCAAATAGGCGAACAGCAGCAGGGTGAGAACGCCGAAAGCGTGCACAGACTGCCCGTACTTTCTGCAGCATCTCTGATATATCTGAGTAGTTTTTCAGGAATTTCTGCACCACCAAATTCAGCACATGCGCCAGGAAAGGGATGTGCGTCAAACCGGCTAGGCCCAGAGCTGCTACGAGATTTCACCCATTATCGCACACCACCAGGCCGGGCTTGAGGCTCAGTGGCAACAACCACTCATCGGTCTGTTGTTCCATGCCCGTCCACAGCTCCTGCGCGGTGTGGGGTTTTTCCCCCAAACATATGAGTTTTAAAACAACCTGCTGTCATTTCCCCCTGTCTGTGCTGAAGTTGGTGGTGAAGGTGTTACGCTGACCGGATGAGGAGGTGATAGAGGAGGAGGAGGAAGAAGCAGAGTAGGAGGAGGAGGCAACAGGA